CTGGCCAAATTATAAGCCTTTGAATATTTGTAGCTCACAGAGTCAGCAAAGAGTCTCTCTAAAATTTTAGTTCCAGGATGCTCCAAGCTGGGGACACAATGGGGTGCCTGTTTTTCTTGTAGTCTCAGTGCCTGCTGCTGAAACTCAAGTGGCATGAAGGCAGTTTGATTTGAACTCAGAACGCAAAAGAATGGGATGAGAGAGAGAAGGTGCAACACCTAATGGGACACAAAACTGGTGGGAGATCACAGCTGGGACTGAAATCTGGGAGGGAGGGGCCTGGGAACCACGTAGAGAGAACTAGGAGCAGGGACTATAAAACAGTGAACGAAGAAAAGGAGCCAAAGTCAAACAAGCAGGGAGAGATGTGGATTGGGGTAGAAGTTGGATGGGATGGGACAGAAGCGACAAAAAAGTTCTGCTTCAACTATGGGTCCCTTCTTTCCATGGCTAGAAACTACGGCTGTGCGAAACAGCACCATTCTGCTTCAACTTCTGTTTTGATGGAACAGTGTTTTGTTTCGAGTTTCATTTCATTTAGTTGAAACTGTTTCGCTGCTTCGACACTGTTTTCGATGTTTCACCCACAGGCTATAATGGGGAAGCATGAAACTGTATATAACTTTGTCATTTCTAGCCTGATTCAGATGAAACTTGCAAGGATTGTAGCCTCTTCTGAGGGCATGATGCTTGCCAAGTTTCAAGGAGGTAGGTGCAGAGGATTCTGGAAAACTGCACCTCAAGGTGCTGACAAGCAAAACTGCCATGTGCCAGCAGCAGCAGCCTCCTGTCATCTGGCAGGTAGATCCAGGGGCCCACACCCTCGGGAGGGCTGTGGGACTCTTCCAGACTCTTCCCGAGGGTGCAGCCCCCAATCCGCCTGCCAAATGACAGGCAGCTGCTGCTGCCGCCTGGGATTGGTGCTGGCCACAGCCTGCACCCAGTGCCAGGAAGATTGGTACTGCCACCAATCCCAGGCAGCAGGAGCAACCTCCTATAATCCAGCAGGCAGCTTGGGGGCCTGCACTCCTGGGAAAAGTCCGGAACAGCTCCCACAGCTCTCCTGGGGGTGCGGGCAGGCCCCCACTCTGCCTGCTGGATGACAGGAGGCTAATGCTGCTGGCTGGGGCCAGCAGCAGCACCTATCTTCCTGGTGCTGGATGTGGGCTGCCCCCAGCACCATCCCAGGCAGCAGGAGCAGCCTCCTGTGATCCAGCAGGCAGATCAGGGGCCCGCCTGCACCCCCGGGAGGAGTCTGGCAGAGCCCTGCAGTCCTCCCAGGGGTGTGGATCCATGATCTGCCTGCCAGACTGCAGGAGGCTGCTCCTGCCACTTGGGACTGGTGCTAGGTGCAGCCCACACCCAGCACCAGGAAGATTGGTGCTGCCACCCATCCCAGGCAGCAGGAGCAGCCTCCTGTGATCCAGCAGACAGATCGGGGTCCCTCTGCACCCCCAGAAGCAGAGCCCCACAGCCATCCCAGGGTGCAGGCCCTGATCTGCCTGCTGGATCACAGGAGGCTGGCTCCTGCCGCCTGGGACTGGTGGCAGCACCAATTTTCCCAGTGCTAGGTATGGGCTGTGCCCAGTGCTGTCCCAGGCAGCAGGAGCAGCCTCCTGTGATCCGGCAGGCAGACTGGGGGCCCGCACCCCTGGGAGGGCTGCGGGGCCCTGCTGGACTCCTCCTGGGGGTGTGGGTGGGGCCCCAATCTGCCTGCCAGATCACAAGGGGCTGCTGCTGCTGGCTGGGACTAGCACTGGGCGCAGCCTGCACCCAGCACTGGGAAGATTGGTTCTGCCGCTGGCCCCAGCTGGCAGCAACAGCATGCTGTCATCTGGCGCACAGATCCGGGGGCCGGCACCCCCAAGAAGGGCTGGGGGCTGTGCCACATTCCTCCCGAGGGGTGCAGCACCCAGATCTGCACGGAATGACAGGAGGCTGCTGCTGACGGCTGGAACCAGCCCGGCTTCGAAACATGAAACATTTTGAAAGTTTTGAAATGTTTCTAGTTCTTTCTTTTTGACGCTCTTTCGAAGGCTTTTGTTTCATTTAGATTTTGCTGTTTTGAGCTCAAAACACATCGAAACAGCTTCAAAACGAAATACTTGGTGAAATTTCACACAGCTCTACTAGAAACCCATTATTCCCTCATTCCCCACAGGTATCTGTTAAACCACAAGCAAAGTGTCTCATCTCCCACTCAGACTGGCCCAGATAAAGGATTACATTTGCTACTTCTGTTAGTTACTCTGTTAGACATCTGTGCACTGGAAATAAAAGTTCAGATGGTGCTGATAGGTCTACTTGTAGAAATTTCAATTTTTTTTTCAATTTGCTTTTTAAAATGATGTAGGAAATCATACACCAAAATTCTAGGTCAGGGTACAGATGCGTGTAGCTTAAATGAACATAATTAAGGTTATGCCATTTTCTAGGCAATTTTATAGGTATGGTATTTTCTAAAATCTCATCTTTGTTCCATTTTGTACATATCTGAAGGCAAGTAAAGGAACCTTCCCTGCTTTCCCACTGAGACGAACACACAAACAAGGTGGTGGCATGTATTACCTATTCAGTAGTACTTATCCCAGATGGATGCACTTACATTCTGGTAAAACAAAATCTATAAGAATGTTGCCAGTATACAATCCTACAGCTATCATAGCTGAATTTCTGATTTTTTGAGTTTCTCATGTCCAACTTAAAAACAACACCAATAACAAACAAACTAACCCCCTTGAAACATTTGGTGGAATGGAAATGGACTGTGAACAACTTTAAGTACCTCACAGTGATGCCAGCCTCCCATATTCTCTCCTTGTTCATTTCATACCTATTTTGTAAAACATGTTATTTTTGGATCAAGGATTTTTAACCTACATGTATAGCTACAGACTACTAAAATATGGAAAAGCTGCTGTTATTGATATACTGTCTGTGCCTTCACAATCTTCGGTGTATTATTTTTTCACAAGAACTTAAGTGCACAGTCTAGACTTGCAAATATCTAAAATTGATAGAAGAGGATATGAAGACAATTAAATTGAAGCCAATTTTGCTGCAGTTCCCACACAGCAATGTCCAAACATTGTAATGGAGATGTCAGTTCCCTGTGTTGTGGTAACAGTGAAGTCAACAGCAAATATGTGAATGAGGGAGAGACAGGGAATGAATATTCTACTAGTGATTGCCTTATGACAGGTCTGAGAAGTAGACACTAGTTTATGATTGTCACTTCCTGGAGGGCTAGCTGTCAATCTACAGCTTGAGAGTTAAAAAAAAAAAAAAAAAAAAAAAAAAATCTATCCAGAAAACCTCCACAGCAAATCATTTTATTTAAATAAATCTCTCCATAGCATTTTTTAAATAAAATGTTAGATTTTCTTGTAGTTATGTCATACCCTGTAGACAAACAATTCTTATGCTACTAGTAAGTATGAATTAAGAGGGAGGCAAACAATTGTTATGCTATTATGAATGTTTGCATCTCTGTTGTATTAGCTTTTGCCAAGATCTTTTGAGTAAACCTCATCTAAAAGGTTTAGGACAAATATTTATATATGAAATGCACAAAAAAATCCCTCCTACTAGCACCGCAGACACCTATTTTTTTCAGGTCCCATATTTCATATTCAGGCAAAAATATACATTTTGATTAGAAATCACATTATATAAATCAAAAGATTATTGGGGCTTCTTATCCAAAAACAAGTCACAACCTTTACTACAGAGAAGTTACCCTAGCTTTCTGATATTTAGATAACATGTCACTATTCCTTTGGAACTTGGGAAAATACCTGTATACCAAGGTTTGCTTTGGGTAAAAATAGAAATTCTTTGGAATAATGGCACTAGCTTCTTTGCTGGCTTAAAAAAGAAAAGATTATAGTATCACTTAAAAGTTTTATTTTTTTTTTCAGACTCATTCCTTTCTCCCCTTTTTCTTTCATACCGTTCCGTCTATCCTCTTTGCCATATTCCAAGGCCATGAACAAAGCAACATTTCTGAAATCTTCCTATCTAATTTGTGAAATCAACAGACTGTGATTGAAAATACTCATGGAGGATTCCAACAGAAAAACCTAGAGAGCCAAGAACCTAAGATCATTATGGAATCATATAATCCAGACAGCTCAGTCTTTTACTCAGACCAATTTCCTGTTGCTCATTAGTTTAAATTCTCCATTGTTTGAATGTGTAACACAGAGATCTAGATTTTCAGTGCAGATGCTCTGTTCTCTTCACTTCCAACACTTCAATCACCGTCTACTCTAAGAGGTGTGATTAAACCCTAATATCAAATTTCTATTATCATATAAATGAGTGAAAGTGATTTGTCAAGATTTAAATAGAAAATGTGCCAGGTGGGAAATGCTATTTGATGAAAGAAAAGATGCTCAAGTTGTACAAGTAACTGTTTTGCTTGGAATCTTCCCCATATTCTAAATTTAAATAAAATAACCATTTAACGACACTAAATTAAATATCCAAAAGGAAGAAACATAATTTATTCTCTATCAGTTACCCTACCAAGCCATACTGTTAATAAGAATCAACATCTGCCCATGGTTTCTGTACAGCATGTGGGCTCTAACTGTAAATTAACACATTGTCAGAAAAAACAATCCTGTGAAGATGTCTTTACATATGTTCTGTGAGAATTAAAGAAGTCCTATACAAAAAGGTAGTCTTGCTAGCTTTCAAAGAAACACAATGTAGGCTGGAGAGTCCCTTATGCAAGCAAAATAGGAATATTTTTTTTTCATTTTATCACTCAAGCAAGTTCTCCTATGACAGCATACTTAAATTACAAAAAGGTGACATTTATTTATCCACAATATAGCTGGTTGTAGTATAAAACAGTGGCAGGATTGTCTGCTTAGTTGCTAGCTCACCTTCCTGCAGACAAAGAAAACCACATGTACTCTTTTTGTACTTCAACCTAAAATGCAAGTATTTTCTAGAACATTATGATTTTCAAACAGAAACAGTGAGCTTACCAACTTCATCTTGAATTTCCTCAGCAACTGCTGGTACATTGTAAAGAAGGGAAAGAGATTGGTTCATGCGTTCATATATCACACGTAGGTGTGTCATAACCTACAGGATGAAAAGATCCAATATGAGAGGAAAGCATTAGTGCTTTGCACACTAATCATCTTATTTTCATCCAATGCAGAGCAAGACAGGGGTATAACACAAGACAGGGGTATGGCCCATGGATTCTGTGACTGTGGAATCTTTCACTGAATTAACCACTGTCCTGCAGCTGGCCCAAAACTGGTCCTACATTCCACCCCGCCTTAGTGTGTCCCTATATCCCAGCTTAGAACTTCTGTCTTTGAGCCTCTGCTTGTGCCACAAGAGGGATTAGGGTAGGGGTAGGCAAGCCCTGGCATGGGTATCAGAGTGTGGCATGCGAAGAAACTTTGCTTGGCACGTGTGCCTTGGGGCGGATGGCGGGAAAGGGGCTAGGGCCACACTACTACAACACAAGGATCAGTCCCCTTGTAGCTGCCCCGCTGTCCGCTCCTGGCACACCAACTTCTTACAAGTCAAGGTTATGAATGTTTTTGGCACTCTGCACAAAAATGTTGCTGACCCCTGGATGAGGGTTTCTGCTCAACTCATGAACTGAATGTCAGTATCAAGGAAGTTGGTGTGAAAAAAAAAGTCAAAACTGTTTTGTTCAAACGGTCTGATAGATTCTTTTTGACTAAAACCTGTACAGAAAAGTGTCAGTTCTGGGGGGAAGGGGTGGGTGGCGGGCAGGGAAGGGGGATGTTATATATTAGTCAAGAACTGAATGACCTCAAATTGAAAACAAATCTCAGCTGGAAACCAAAATAGATCCATTCAAAAAAGCTGTCTTGTAGCTCATGAGAAAATACTTATGTTATCTAATGTCCCTTTTAGGGTAAACTCCTCACCAGGACTTAATTTCCCATGACGCACATAGCTGTGGAACTGTCCTGAAGTACTCTTTTCTCCTTACTAAAGGAGGGGACCATGGTGTTCCATGAAAAACAGTCTGACCAGGGACCCCGACTTATGTATAAAAATGGAAAAATGAGGCACCCAAACAATAATTCCCATAAGAAATGCAACAGCTGGTAAGAACTGAAATATTTAGGCGTTCAAACAAATATTTACATTTTCAATTACACCAAAAAGTCAAAATTTTCTGAAAACCCCCTTAATTTTATGACCAGCTCTGTCTGTAAACAAGATATAAAAGACAAACATCTCTCAGCACCAAAATCTCAGTATTAAAATCTGTTCTTTTGTGCAGAGAACACAGTGTCCAAGACACTGTGTAAAATACATTTAGAACTACATCAGTACTATTTTGTTTCTATTTCTCACTCTTCCTTTTTTAGGAACTGCCAAACTTTCCTGGCTCAAATTGCCAGACAATAAGAAAAAACTTCCTAATTGTAAAGACACTTAAGCATTGATATGGGTTACTGAGGATGGAGGTAGAATCTCTATTTTTGTTCTGGAGGGTTTTTTTTTTTTTTTTTTTAGAGGTGCACCGATACATTGGACTGATATCAGATCAGCACTGATATAAAGAAAATGTACTATATCAGAAATCGGCCATTTGGCTGATAAATGGCTTGTGCATGTGTGCAGCTGCAGCGCAGGCCGTGAGAAACACAGACTGGTAGAGTGGAGAGCTGCCTCCAGCTGGTAAGTCTGGTGTGATGGACAGGGAGGAGGGAGGGAACAGGTTGGGAGGGGGGCAGATCAAGGCCCCTGCAGTGAGGGATGGGTGGGGCTGGGTCAAGCGCTGCCCTGCTGGGGCGGGGCAGGGCGGGTGCAGCACGGAGCCGTGGCTCGTCCAGGGGTCGTGGGGAGGGGTGGAGCAGCTCCTGCCACAGCGGCTGCTTGGCTGAGAGCCACTGGTCCTGTGGCTCATCCGGCACTTGTCCGGGAGGGCAGAGGCGCATGCACCACTGGATCTGCGCAGGGCCGGCTAGGTCCAGGGCTGCGCCAAGCTGTTCCTGGCAGGGTGGGGCTGCACTGGGAAGGGGCTATGGCAAATTTGTGGCTGGAGGGGAGGGCTTTCCTTCCTGCAGCTGCGCCCCCCTCCCTGCACCCTTGGACGAACCACATCTGTGCCACACTTGCCCCGCCCAGGTAGCCCCAGCTCCAGCCCTCCCTCACTGCTGGGGCCTTGATCTGTGGCCCCTCCCCGCACCAGACTTACCAGCTGGAGACAGCTCTCCATGCTGTTGGGCTTGGTATTGGAAATCAGATCCGTATTGGCCAATATGCCTGCTTAAAAATTGGCTATTGGTATTGGCCACAAAAATCTCTATCAGTGCAGCCCTATTTTTTTTTTTTTAAGAACAGGTTAGACAGATATCTGTCAGGAACGGTTTGAGTATAGCTGATCCAGGCTCTACCATTAGTGATGAACTAGATCTTTCTCCTGGTCCCTTCTAGCCCTATTTTCTATTATTCCAGTGATTTTAAAGGACAGAACAATCTCATTTTACAAATCTGAAATAGGCATTTTAAGTAAGGTGCAGTCTAATGTGTAACCCCACTGGTTCCCAAATTGCAGTCTCCATTTCCTTTCCTTTTCCAGTTTCAGTTAAAAGTCTGATACAAGTGTTTTTCAAGAATTTTTTAAGGTTGACAGTGATCTGCTGGTCCAAAGGTTGGGACCAGTGATAGGCACCATGTTGTTCATGGAGTTCAACACCTTTAATTTACTACCAATACCAATCAGTTCAAGAATCATATCTGGGCCAGTTTCCAGTTACACGCTGTGAGGGAAGAGCAGATTCTATAGATTACAGTACATTTTTTTAACAGGTTAACCACTGCATCTCCCATTTTAACTGGAATCCTAAAGCCATCTACGTCTTTGCTAGTTTCATTTTCTCTACATAATTTGTAAGAAACATATGAAACTGCTCCAAAACAAACACATCAGGGTATGCAGAAACATTCAACAGTAGAAATAACTTGAACTACACTGACCCCAGCTCTAAAGCATGTGTCAGATTCAGGCATAGTGACAACTTCTATGGACACTATGAAGTGTCCTGTGCAATGCATACAGAAATCTTGGTCAGACTCTTTAACACCCTCCTTGTACAGAATCTTGCTTCAGAAAGTGGACTGTTATTTTTACAATTCTTTCATATTTGGTCAACAGTGTCCACATGTACTGAGGGGGAAACTGTCAACTTAAATTAGCTGAAAATTGTTTCACAATAGTTTTCTGGAAAAATGAATGGTTAGCCCCCATTGTAGTGATTACCTGAGACCTGATTTGGGCAGCTTTCTTTGGATCCACCATGCGGACATGTTCAAAGTGTTTGAGGGTGTGCTGTCTGTCTTTCTGCTCAGCCCGTACATATTTCTTCAGCATGTTGAATACATGGCGAGGCTATGGAGAAAATGCAGGAGAAAAAATCTGAGTTCAACACGGAGTTCTGTATAAGTCAGCATCAGGATGCCTTTGATTAGAAGTTTCTTCTGAAAGCACATAACCAGTCACTGCTTACAACACCTACCCTTTCAGGTGTTTCTGTCAACTGCCAGAAATATCTGCCACTTGATCTGTACGGTAGGTTATGTAGCTGGGTGTTTGCAATCTTCCCTCTAAGCTATGTGGTGTGTATGGCTGTGCAGGTATACCTGCCAGCACGGCATAAGTGTGCAAGCTTGCCCGGGCATGACACACAGCTTAGAGGGAATGCTGGGTGGTTGCTACAGGTAGATGTGGCAGCTAGAGGACAGCATTTTGAGTGTCTAACTTGGCTGGGTTTGAACATCTGACATCATTCGTAGCATCTAACTTAGCTGGGTTAGCAAGAAACTTGTTTCCCTGCTAGCACTAGCAATAAATGATTACTCTGAATGGCATGAACGGAATGGCTTAGTTATAACATATGCATCAAAGCTGGACCCAGGATTTTATGAAATGGAGTGTAGGAGCAGTAATTGGCATTGCAAGGGTGGATGCAACCCCTGGGTGACTTCAACCTCCTCCTGGCTCCTCTACACTAGGATGGGGAGACCATACCATGGGTGCAGCAGTCAGGGACTTTTTTTAAGTTCCTGAAGTAGGTAAGAATCCCCACAACTTGCCCTCCCTGCTCAGAGGTACATCCACTCTCCCCACTCCCCAACCTGTTCTTGCCACTGTCCTAAGGGCAAGGAGAGCTCTAGAGCCAATTCAACTGGCCTGTGCTGGAGGTGGACTTAGCCCATGGCCAGCAGCAGCAGTGGGCAGGTTCCCAGCTGCTACTCCTGCTGTGTGGTCATAAAGGTTGTGTGGTCAAGCCACTTCTCTGTATCAGCCCCTGGGGCTATCCTGTATACTCTGGTGAGAAGCAAAGTGCACCTTCCTAGGCTGAATGCATTGTGATCACCAGAGCTTCCTTGTGTACTTCTATGACTCGCCACAAGACTTCTCATGCCTTTCTACTTTAGAGATTCCCTGCCATTTCTCTCACCCCTTCCCTCATGCCAGGTGCTCTGTACATCTCTCATATCTCCCATGACAGTCTTTGTGTGTTCTTCAATTTCCCATCTTTTTCTCCCCTCCTCCTTCCTCCGTAACCCCTTACTGCTATCTAGGTCTTTGTGTTTCAACTCTTGGGCTCTCCTTCTTTCCAGTATAATGACTCCCATATAGGTTCCTGCTTCTTCAATCTTGTCTCATCTCCCTCCAGGTCTTCTTCTCTCCTTTCTTTTTACAAAGACTTTGGACCATCAAGAATCAAATCTGGAAACATTTTCCACACACAGCATTTTAAGTCTTCATATGTAGTAGAGGGGCTTCCATACCTACAGTACCAGGCAGCCTGGGGACCAGGGTAATTTCCTGGGTTCAAGTTTTCACCAAAATCAATAGATTGTCCTCAAACTTTTGGAATGAATCACTCCCATTAATCCAAACATACCATATAATAGATACTGCCCCTGATTGGGTGTTAAATTTGCTTTACTTGGCTAACCGTGGTTAGACATTAACAACAATTTGGATTTGTGGACAATTTGCAATTTGTACAAGCACTGGCAGCAAGAGGGCAGGGTGGGATGCCTGATTTTCAAAAATGTTAATCACTTATTTACTCCTACCAAAATCCATAAGAGCAACTTGGTGCTAAACACTTGGAGGAAGGGTCAGCAGGGAAGTCAAGTTACATATTCAGGTGCTTATGATTGAAAACTCTGGCCAATTTTCAGAGACCTTGTTTGGTAGTAGAGGGTACCAAAATTGTATAGGCTCCTTCTCAGTATTAATAAGGCTCTCTCATCAAGAAAGTAAACATCTTGTGTTAAACCAGATGGCTGAAAACTACAAATAAGGGAATGGAGATGCCTCTAACTGAAGAGAGAGTGAGAACACACAGCTCCCTGGGAAGTCAGCCTGGTAGTTTCTGGGAGCAGTAGGAAGACTGGAGAGAGCTCCTTGGACTTCTTCATGCTATTCTGTCCTCAGCAATAACACAGTGACAGGTCAGCAGTGTTTTCTTTAGCATTTGGCTGGGTTATGTCCATTTTAATTCATTTTTATGACTTGCTATCTCTTCCCCCCCTGAAAAACCAGCAACAAACATTGATTGTGGTAGTGCTGGATCAATGCTGTAGCTCTGAGGGTTCAGGAAGTATGTAAGAGGAAAGCCTGGTGGTAGCAGACAAACTGTCAAGGGCAGCACGTTCTTCAGGTGTGGTTCCTAGATCATGCACGCTCAAATTCCAGACAGCAAGAAAACTGAACGTGACATTTGGAGGAAAAAAGCAGGGAAGGATGAAGATGGCCTTGCTATGTACCAGACAAAGCTGGGTTCTTCTTCCAAAGTAGCACTCTGCAGTGCCTTTATCAGTTATAAAGGCACTGCAGACACAGGAGACATGACTGACCCAGGCAAGCTTGAGGTGACCCTTACATAGTGTCTCAGACAAATGTGGGGAGAGTGAGTTAAGAATGGGTTCAGGTGTAAGGGCTAATTTATAGGGAAGTACACAGCGTGTATTATACTAAAAGTTATTCAGGAAGAGAATGCAGAGGTATAGCATTCAAAGCATTAAGAATCACTTCAGCTTGAGACATGAAAACCATAAAAACGGCTTTGGGATGTTTAGAAAAGAAAGAAAGAAAAGAAAAGAAAAAGTAAGAAAGTTTCTAGCCTGGAGATAAAAAGATGCAAAACTGTTTCCTGAGTTGGGTAAAAAGCTCAATTGGCCTCAGGACCAAAATTCATTAGAGACACAGAATTTTAGTGTGAAACTCCTAGCAAACTCTTGCTATAGACTAAGTCCCTGTAGTAAACCAACTTCTGAGTGCTGCAGTAACGATGATGCAAACTGAAATGTTGGTTGGCAACAAACTACAGTAACTGAGACGAGAAACAAAGTAACCACAGAGAGGTTTACAACTACATCCAATTTGAAAAAAGAAATGAAATCAGATTATTTTTGTTGATAGGTTGGTCCTCTTTGCCCCAAGAAATAGTATAGTATAGTAATATAGTAGGTTAGGAAAGATTAAAGAAATAAAATCATTTCTCTTTTTTCTAGAGACTTCCATTTAGCATTATGCTTAATGCCACAGGACACGTTTCTTGTTTTCCCTCAATACGTTTTTGTCCAATGTGATGGTCATATCCAGGAAGATTTATATTAGTAATACTGACTCTAATAGCTGGCTAGTAGTTTATGACTAAGACAATAATCTTGAAAATATGCTTCAAGGACCATGAGTGGTGGTGATTTCAGCTTCACAACCTGGCAACATACTTCTAGTATGATAAAAAAAGAGAATGCCCCACAATTATTACTAATGGGGGAAGATGGATATGCTAAGTCATGAGTGACTGGAGCACCTTGGCTAAGAGAGTTCGCTCTCTAATGTGTGCACCTGAAACTTAATTAGATGAACAGGATTTCACAGAAAGGGGGCATGCCTATACATGTGCTTTACTGTGCAGTTGACTAATTAGCTCCACAGTAAAGCATCATCATCTAGACGTGTGCTGGTATTAGTGCACAGTAGATTAATTAGCTGTGCTGTAAGATATTACTGTCAGGGACAGCAGTTACTATGCCAAACTGCACGTGTAGATGTTGACTGGGGCATGAGGGTGCAAAAGTGTGGGGGCTGTCTGCCACCCAGCTCCAAACTTTAGCACACACATGCTCTAGCCAACCCCTCCACCTCCCAGCCGCCTGCACCTGGAGCTGACCCCTTGAACCTCCACTCCTCCCTGATTCAAACTGCTGCAGTCCTGGGCACAACTGCACCAGCATCTATCATGGCACCTTAATGGCACATGGAGATACACCCAGGGACTATTAAATGCAAGGGTTTCCTTACAGGAGTGAAAGACAGCATGAGAAAACTCCTTGTACATGAGCACACAAACCTGCAGGTTTGCGTTTAGAGGTCTTTGTCCAAGTCAAGACCCAGACTGCAATGGTCTACTTGCTTCAAAGAGCACAATGAAGTTTAGATAACAGCAATCTAAAACACTTTAAAGCTGAGGAGATTTTCTTCTTACCCTCTGCAATAGTCCATTGTCTCACACTGATTTATAAGGTTTTTGAAGTTAGCCAGGAGCTTTTGAATAGGGCCATCCCTGGGACAGCTGGATTGTATAAAATAGCATTTCTTGAACTCTGGCACAACATTCATTCCCTTAGGCAGAAAATAAACTATTCAGGCTCCCCTGAGGTCTGGTAGTTATTGAGAGTCCACAGACCTGGGTTAATTCAATCACTGTCACCAACTCACTGTCCATGACCTTGAGCAAATAACTGGCACCAAGCCTCAGTTATTTAATAGAATAATATACTGGGTACTCTCCACAAAAGTAAATGAGGCACTATCCATTGAGCATACCTGCTTTTCCAAATTTTTAAGTGATTCCAGAAATGATCATTGTAGAGAGGTCAGTGCTCCCTCACCTTCCTCTGATGCCAGTCTCAGATTTAAACAAACAATCAAACAAGCATTATTAGAGAAAGCTATCATGTTAAGTATGGAGCAATGAGAGCTCAGTAGCAGTTCTGTCACTCTGGACATTGGTGGTTTCTGATTTTGATTATGAATAAGTAAAAGCATAAGGGATGATAGGGGGAAAGGGTAGGTGTCACATATGAATAATGGTTTGTGCTAGGCACAGGCAGATAAGGGGCTCCCAGAACAAACAGGGGAAGTGGTAGCTCTACCTTGGACTATTTAATTACTATGACTCTACTATATGCATTGCAGGAACGCCTAGAGGGCTAACAAAGCACACAGAGACAGCTACTGTAGCAAAGACTTTATAATTTAGGTGACAAGAGGTGGATGCAGCAAACAAGAAGAGGTGGAAGCATGAGGTGACAGGGAAATAAGCACATTTGGGCAAAGTAAGCATTATTCATCGCTCACTT